ATCACGAGATCCCAGTGCATGAATTCTTTTAGTGCACCTTTTCACTGGTTACGGTCCGGACGCACAGATCCAGGAGTTCTTCAAACTAGTAGCATGGCTGGATTCACTGGCAGACATTACAAACCAGCACCGTAGTATAATAGAACAACTTCTCCTAGATATTTACTCATTTTTTTTGTGCATCTTATACTAATACAGCCCACATCAAAACTCTATCAGAGCCGAGTTATTCGAGGAAACATCAGTCGCTCCTTCAAACTCTGACAGAGGTTGGTTTTTTTTGGGTGGGTGTGACAGATTACGCAACATTATACCTATAAAACAGATCACAAATAAAAATCAATCTTTTTTGTAAAAAAAAAAAAAGAAAAAAACAGAAAAAAGAAAACATGGATCAACAGTACCAAACATTTTCTTTACCCTCAGGAGAACGCTAACGAATCCTAAACCTATACATACAACTAGCACAGTTTGCTGAAGGTATTGCACATTTAATAAAAAAAAGAAAACATTACAATAATTCTTTACTTCGGGCTGAAGTTTACATAATGTACAAAACTAGAAGTCTGTTTGAAACCGGCAAATAGTACACTTTCAAATAAATAAATAATGGAATCTGTTATTCACACACCTTTGAAAGCTCATTCTGCAGGAGACCAAATATTCAGCCTGAGGTAGTTCATCAAAGTTGACTTGAATCAGAAGATTTGTTTAGAGAAACGAAATAAGACCACAAGAACAACAACGTTAAATAAAAGAAAGATAGTGTAGTGACGGAAGTAATTGAAATTGACGCCCCAGATGTCGGGCTATAAAAATTAAGAGCACTTCTGTCAAAAATGGTTTTATTCTGATCCAGAGTTTCCCTCTAAGCTGATATCAGCTCTGGATAAATGTCTCCACCTGCCTTCCTATTAAACTACTTTTGCACTGGGTTTTAGATTTTATGGATTTCGCTCTAAGTTACCTGATAATGCCCCATTGCAGTCTTTTAAAAACAGGTTGCACCAAATAAACTCGCCGTGAGAAGCAGCCCCTTATTAAACACTTAACTTCTTCTTTGTACGCAATCCATCATTTGCTAATAAATCGCATTTTTACAAACAAGTTAATTCAATCGAAGGACTAAAACTTTCTGTTTCTCTCTGGTTTTTCCAATGTTTCTGCTTTTTCTGGCAAACAAAAACCTAAAGAACTGAAATTAAATCTGCTGTTAAAGGTTTCTGCACATTAAGCTGGGCGTACACTGCACCTTCTTTATGGTCCATGGGTTTATTTGATTAACGAAAAAACAAAACGCGTTTTTAGCGAATGCCAATCAATAAATAAAGTATTTTTTACTTTTTAAATTCACCTGAAAAATCATAGGAAGCAATGTTTTAACCTCCATAAATGTTCTTAGTGGTGCGTTTGTGCTTCTTTACCTGCTGAGGATCCACTAATTTTAAAACAGGCCTCGGTTTGGGTAACGGTGCTAAATATCAGCCATGCTAACATTAGCTAGTTAGCAAAGTTAGGGTAAAGAAGCTAGCTTGTTGGATATGTTTTCTATTTTCTCTGTAATAAATGGTACTTTGGAAGCAGAGTTAATGAAAAACGATTCTAAAAACATTTACAGTAAATATTGAAGCGAGCTAGGCCTTTGAAACTGATCAATATGACTGTTAGCGTAACTGCTGCGTACAACGGGGCACACGTGTCGGGTTTTAATGATGCAACCCGAAGCTTTGCTTTATAAATCGGCCCGCTGGTCGATCAATACTCTGTGGGAGGCGGAGCCAAGCTGCAGCGGCGGGTGGACGGAGGGGCCCGTCCCGACCCTCAGAGAGAAAGTGACCTTTTCACTCAGCAGCTCTCAAACTACCATATTTTCTGGACTATAAGCCGCTACATTTTCCTCACGCTTTGAACCATGCAGCTTAGAGAAAGGCGCAGCTTTTCTGTGGATTTTTTTCTAACTGCCAGAGTGGGGAGTCAAAAGTTGGAAATAAAAGAATAGGGGGCTAATTTCATTTAGCACTAGAACATGCTAGCAGCAGGCATAACGGAGAACAAATGTCCCGAATTCACATATTTTGACATTTAATTTCCGCGTTAAAGCCGCTGAACCAATGAAGAGACTGGGCTCAACTCCTGCAGAGCTGAATTAGAGAGCTGATGAAGCTCCATGTTTCAGTAGAAGCTCTCACTGCTGCGAGCTAACACGCTAACCAGAGCTAGCATTCGTTTTCATCCCTACTCCAGGGGCTATATGTAGAGCTCCCCCTACAGGTTTGGTGGGAGACAATTAAGTAGATATCAGCGGCTTACAGTCCGGATTCAAATTTCAAGTTCAAAATTTAGAGGCCATGACTTAAAATGAGGTGCTCGCTATAGTCCAGATAATACGGTAATGCTTTGTTTCTTTCTCTGACGATTCTGTTCAGTTTTCTGGTCGGAACCACTGGGTCCGAGCCGACCCACAGAAAACTCCTGATCCAATAATGCTCATTTACTCAGAAGGGTTTAGAAATGACTCCTAAAATTCAAAGATCTGATAGAAACTGTGTTTTTTTTTTTTTTTATTCTATGTTCTGGGACTTCTTTTCACTTTGATGAAAAACCTCTGAAACGACCTGCTTAAGCTCTTCAGTTTCTACGTTCATTTTTCCATTCAAACCTGAGAGACGACGCTCTCTTGCTCAGGCCCGAAACTCAAGAAAAAAAACAAACAAAAAAGGTAAAAAAATATACATTTAGGAGAAGCACACCCCCACCACACCACACCGTGTCCTGCTGTAGTTATGGAGACACCAGTAGCCGAGCAGAATGAACACCTTCAGCAGACACAGGAACGAATCCCAAACAACAGGCACTTCACCTTTTTTAAAAACCTAAACCAAAGCCGCTCCTGAGGACGCCTTAACGCATTCCTCTCTCCGGCTGACACACAAAACACTTTCTCATTTTCCATTTCACAACAAGCCAGAGTTGCATTTCCTGCCGCTCCATGCAGCAGAACCGGCTTTGCTCCGTGACACAGGAGCACCTCCATGGATTGGAATATCACCAGAAAGTTCATTTCAATAACAAAAGTGGCTTTAGTTTCTTTTTTTAAACAAAATTGATAGATCCAAGTTATAAATTACATCGATTATTGTTCATTTGGATGATTGTGGCTATCAGCACATAAAAGCGGCATCAGAAATTCTATTTCTAACTCCATACTGCGGTCGATATCAATCCTCAGCAGGAGTTGAATCCACCAAAGGGACTGGACCTGTCCGTTATTTTCTCATTCATCTAAAAGATGCTTTTAGTTATTGAACTTTTCTAAAACAAACATTTGGAAAGGAAAAGAAATCTATTGTGCATTTTTAATAAACTGCAAATGGTAAAATGTAAAAAATACACCAAGATATACATCCATTCCATAAATATGAAAAAAACATTCCTAGATTATATCCTTGTATTATTATTATTATTATTATTACGATTGGCAAACTGGTTAAGGATTATCCACTAATAAATCCATTGGCCGATACATCGACCGGCTGATAATGTTACTTCATCAGAGGATATGTCGAACTTTTCTGATTCGTTAGTTTGCAACAGAAGTACTTTTAAGGCTAGGCTTAAAACTTTCCTATTTGATAAAGCTAATAGAGTGGCTCAGGTTATCCTGAGCTATCTCTATAGTTATGCTGCTATAGGCTTAGACTACTGGAGGACATAGGGACAACGTTTTCATCATTCTGCTTCATTCTATCTCTATTCTCCCACTCTGCAGAATCTGTTAGTTCAACCTCTAACGTTCTGCTCTCTCTGCTTTTTCTCACAGTAGCTTCATCTGGTCTGTTGCCTTTTGTATCTCTGATTCTTTTTCTATCTCTGCTTCTGTCTCCTTTAACCCCAGTCGGCCTCAGCAGACTCACACTGAGCCTGGTTCTGCTGGAGGTTTCTTCCTGTTAAAAGGGAGTTTTCCTCTCCACTGTCGCTACAAGCATGCTTAGTGTGAGGGATTGCTGAAGAGCCAATGAGTCGATGCAATCAGCTGGTTTTCCTCAGATAGAAAACTTTGAATCAATTTGACTGTATGATCTTGTGAACTGTAAAGTGCCTTGATGACTTGTGTTATAAATTGGCCGCTACACAAGTGAATTGAATTGAAAAAAATTATATATATAAAAAGAACTACAGGTTAACTTTTTCTTCAAATAAACTTTGTTTTCCCTTAATTCTATCCAGTAAGTAAGACAATGGAATAAGAGTTCTTTAGTTTAAAATAAAGATATTTGCTTTATCTTTACCTTTAAAATGCAAAATATCTTATTTGAAGGGCAAACATCCATCCGTCACGTCAGCTCATTTATTATGAAATTTTAACTTTCTGCTCCCTCTATTTACCTTCTAGCTTTAATGTTTTGTTTCTTTTTAAAGAAGGTGATGTTCCTGCAACGTTTTATCATTTTCTCCTGTAAATGAAGAAAGATGAGGCGACATCAGCAGCGGCTATCAGCGGACATCTTAACGGACGTTAAAATAATCTGTATCGCTCTATTGAAATATTTCTAGAATTTATTTTTCATGATCTGTTGCTTTTAAGCCATAATCATCAAAATGAACAGAATGAAATGAATTTCTGGAACAAACAAACTGTTTTTCTGATATTCAAATCTGTTGAGATGCATCAAAAGCCCCCCACCACCCACCTCAGCTGAAGCACATCCTAGTTTCACCATCATCAACCTAACAAACCAAACTCTCCATTTCTAAAGGATCCAGTCCAGATCGGTTCCACCAAACCGGCTCCGTCCACAACTGGGACAAAGAAAGAATTTTAAAGCACTTAAAAATAACAACATATTTAGACTCTTCTAGTCTAAATATGACAAAAGGAGAATCCAACAAATGTCAGCATTTGTTCTTTAAATGGGAGGTGAAAAATATTAAAATTATAAAGCGTTTGTAAAAAGTTTAACTTTACAATGTAGAAAGTAGAAGTAGCTTCTTTTTTTTCCTTTTTTTTACAATAAATCTAACTGACCTTGTCTCTAATAAAAGGATGTGTCATCAGCAAATAATAAAAAAACAAACAAACAAAAAAAACAATATCCATAATATTTTAGACAAAACCATCCAGGAGAAAATAATCTGGGATCCAAGGACTCACAGAATATTGGTAATAAAGATAAAACCTCCATCTACGGTCAAATCTGTACAAACTTAATCTGTGAATGTATGGCAAGCTGTCGAAGATAAAAACAGAGAAAAATTCATCCGTTTATGACATTTCTCAGATCCTACCGGCGCTACAAACTGAATTCAAACCAGATCTGGTTTCTGACAAAGAAACAATAAATTAGAGAAAATAAAATCTTTTGAACAAAATAATAAAAGAATCTATGGATGATTATTTTCAAAGAAAAGACAAAGATCTGTTCTTTAGAAATATTTCTTACACAGCTATCTGACTAATATGCTATACTACCAGAGACGAGCAGGAGGGGAGGAGAGAGGGAGGGACCAGCGAGGAGCCGCTGTGACCGGGGAGCAGGACCGGCGCCGGGTGGGCGGGGCCATCATCTGCAGCAGCCCACGGGGCCCGCGGCGGCGCGGGCCGTGTCCAGGCTGCTGTCCGTGTCGGTCGGGGTCGGGTCGGAGGAGACGTCGTTGGTGGAGGCGGACGAGGACGTGGAGGGGGGGTGCTGGTGGCTGCTGCTCATTGCTGCACCTGTGCTGAGAAACAGAAGGGAGGAGGGCGGCGGTCAGTCGTCAAATAACGCCCCCTAGAGGTAGAGGGCTGAAGATGCAGCTTTGTTAACCAAACTCTTTCTTGATTTTTCTTCTGCTTTTATCTGCATTGAGCAGAAATAAAGAGACTCAGCATCAGTCCTAAATGTTGATCTTTTTAACGGTTAATCAGGTTTTTTCAGACAGGTTGTGTCTTTTCATTTTTTATTATTATTTAAACCAGTGATTGTTGAATGTTGGAACTCGGGCCGACAGATGATCATCAGCAGCGCTGATCAGGCTAATCACGTTATGCTGAAGGAGACGGTTTAGTAACAGAAGAAAAATGACTTTTAGTTCCTTTCTGAATAGAAAAGCTGAGCAGACATAATAACTGCAGTGAAGAGGAGGAGGAGGAGGAGGAAGACTGGATTCAGAAAGGAAGGAAAAAGAAATGCCAGAACAGGAAAACGAGTAAAACTGAACCAGGCTAAAGTGGAACGCAGCAGAGGAAGGTTTATATGAAAAAATAATCTGTTAAAGATTCAGTATAAAGGTTCAAAAGAAATAAAAAAACAACACACCAGAAGAAGAACACAATAAGACTCCACCAACCTATAGATGCCGGCTGTCCCCTGATGACGCCATTCTTTGTCCTTTCCTCCCAGTCCAGCACTTCTTTATAGATTAACTCTGCATTAATGAAAGAAAAACATCATGTTCATTTAAGCCTTCGGTCAAATAAACACTTTTGGTTATTTAAAACGTCCAGTTTAAATGATTTCATGTAGAAAATTATGGATAAAATGCAGATATTCTGGTAGTTCAGTGACAGAAGGGAGAATTTCAATACTAAACCAGTCTTTAGAAATCCAACGAATCAGAGTCCTGAACCACCAACTCCAATTCACAATAAAATGTGGAACGCGATCAAAGAACCTCAAATTAATTTTGGAGAAAAACTACAAACATTTCTAGACATAAGGAGAACCTGCTAACAGAGAGAACCTGCTAACAGGGAGAACCTGCTAACAGGGAGAACCTGCTAACAGAGAGAACCTGCTAACAGAGAGAACCTGCTAACAGAGAGAACCTGCTAACAGAGAGAACCTGCTAACAGAGAGAACCTGCTAA